TAGTTTTAATATAGTATTTTGAACTTGAATTTCCTTATGCTACTATTGTTAGTCTTGAATAGGTCTAAGTTTATTGTCTCACTAAGAGCTCTGAAAGATTTAAGGTTGAGGTTAGACAATATAGCTCAATGGTGGAATGCACAAGGCCCTGGGGTTCAGTCCTTACCCTCTTCATCCATCAGCAACATATGGGTAGGTGCTCTACACTGTCCAGAATAAATGGTGCCTAGGTGTCCTGTACTGGCATAATTACCAGGGTCATTCATTTAAAATGTAATCCATTTTGTGTTCTTTTAAAAACAAAAGTTTTATGCTTCAGGATGAGATTGTTAGCTTATATGGTGAGATTAAAAAAAAAAACAAAACACTTCCAAGAGGTTTAAAACTTCTGAAATTGATATACCAATCATACTAGTATTAGAAACTTCAAAGACTGTCGGGAAAAGGGCTGGAGAGATGGTTCAGCAGAGAAGATTGGGTCCTGTTCTTGAAGAGGACCTGGGTTTGGTTCCCAGCACCTATGTCAGGTCACTCACAGCTGTCTGTAACTCCAGCTTCAGGGGGTCCAATGCCCTCTTCTGGCCTCACATTACACTCATGTGCACACACACACACACACACACACACACCACACACACACACACACACACACACACAAAATTAAAAATAAAATAAATCTTTTAAAAAATTTAGAGAGTCTATTGCTGGAGAAGAGGACAGATCTTATATATTACTTTTTTTAACTTTGGAATTCCTTAGCACTTTAAAAATACTTTCTTTTGTACTCTCTCAACCTCTTACTTTATTAATTCAAGACTACCTATTTCTGAAAACACTAAAAATATGGGCTAATATCATATGCTATTAATTTAACCTGTCTTTTACTGTTGTTTTATAGAACCAATCACTGAAACAGCTTTACCCCAAAACACAGAAGAATCTTTTTATAATAACAGCTATAATCCCTTTAAAGGTGTGCAGACTTCACAGTGTTTGAACCCATTTGATGAACCAGAACCTTTTGTTACTATAAGGGATTCTCCACCCCAGTCTACGAAAAGAAAAACTGTAAGACCTGTGGACATGAGCAAGTATCTCTATGCCGATAGTTCTAAAAGTGAAGAAGAGTTAGATGAGTAAGTACCTGTTTCATTTTGCTATCATCACAGGTTAGCTGCTGTATTAACTAAAGAATTTTACTGATATAACTCAATGGTTGAAAATATCTATATATGCATTATAGAAGTTAATATCTCATTCTGCATCAGAACTTTTTTAAGAATACTTATTTTTTCAATAAGATCCTATTTCTATTTTTTTGAGACTTTCTTACACGAGTAGACTGTATTTATATCATTTCTATCACTTCATTTCCCCACTCCCAACTCTCCTGTGTCTCCTCTACCAATGTTCCCCTCTCAAATTCATGTCCTCTTCTCTCTCTCTCTCTCTCTCTCTCTCACACACACACACACACACACACACACACACACACACCCTGCTGAGTCCCACTGTTTGTGTTCCCACTGTTTTTAGGGCTGACCACTTAGGCGGGGCCTATCCATCACGAGGCTCATCCCAGAAAAGAACTACCTTTCCCTCCCTCAGCAGCCATTGACTGCCTATAGCTTGACAACTAGGAGTAGGGCCTTGTGAAGCTTTCCTCCATCCATGATGGAGTGTTGACTGTTATGGTCTTGTGCAAGTCTTGGGCAGGCAGCAGTACTGAGAGTTCCCGAAGGCAGTATGCTTGTCACCTCTGCTCTCTTGCAGCAGTCCCTCTGGTCTTGAGACCTTTTTTGAGACAGGGTCTCCCTATAGCCCCAGCTGGCCTGGAACTTGCCATGTAAACCAGGCTGGCCTAGTTTCAAACTCAGAGGTCCGCCTGCTTTTGCCTCCCAAGTGCTGGAATTAAAGGCGTGTGCCACCATGCCCACCTCATCAGAACTTTTTTCTCTCAAGCTTTATTTTCTTTCTTGAGAGCATGTGTCTACTCCAAAATAAAAGAGTCAGTTCATAGACTCTGGTTGGAATTTCAATCACGTTTTCTCATAGAAACCATGTTTAAATGGATTTATGTGGGGTTTTTGTTTGTTTTTTAAATATTTTACTTACTATTTTTATTTATGTGTGTGGGTGTATTGCCTGCATGTATGTGATGCACCCATGTCGTGCAATGCCACGGAGATCAGAAGAGGGCTTCGGATTCCCCTGAAGTGGAATTAAGGACGGTCCATAGCCACCTTGTGGGTGCTGGGAATCGAACCCAGGTCCTCTGCAAGAGCAATGGGTGTATTGCCTGCATGTATGTGATGTACCCATGTTGTGCAATGCCACGGAGGTCAGAAGAGGGCTTCAGATTCCCCCCTCTGGTCTTGAGACCTTTTTTGAGACAGGGTCTCCCTATAGCCCCAGCTGGCCTGGAACTTGCCATGTAAACCAGGCTGGCCTAGTTTCAAACTCAGAGGTCCGCCTGCTTTTGCCTCCCAAGTGCTTGAATTAAAGGCATGTGCCACCATGCCCACCTCATCAGAACTTTTTTCTCTCAAGCTTTATTTTCTTTCTTGAGAGCATGTGTCTACTCCAAAATAATAGAGTCAGTTCATAGAATCTGGTTGGAATTTCAATCACATTTTCTCATAGAAACCATGTTTAAATGGATTTATGTGGGGTTTTTGTTTGTTTTTTAAATATTTTACTTACTATTTTTATTTATGTGTGTGGGTGTATTGCCTGCATGTATGTGATGCACCCATGTCGTGCAATGCCACGGAGATCAGAAGAGGGCTTCGGATTCCCCTGAAGTGGAATTAAGGACGGTCCATAGCCACCTTGTGGGTGCTGGGAATCGAACCCAGGTCCTCTGCAAGAGCAGTCAATGCTCTTAACCACTGAGCCATCTCTCCTAACCACTGACTCCAGCCCCAGATTTATGTGTTTTGATTGAACATTGTATACAGTGACTTCAGTTATATTACAGCTCTGTTGTGCTAACCAAACAATTATGTATGATATTGATTTGATGAGAGGAATTGTGGAATTAAGGACGGTTCATAGCCACCTTGTGGGTGCTGGGAATCGAACCGAGGTCCTCTGCAAGAGCAGTGAGTGCTCTTAACCACCGAGCCATCTCTTCAGCCCCGGATTTATGTGTTTTGATTGAACATTGTATACGTGACTTCAGTTATATTACAGCCCTGTTGTGCTAACCAAACAATTATGTATGATATTGATTTGATGAGAGGAATTATTTAACTACTTAATAGTAAAATCATAACGTTTCTAAGTAAGAGACTATCACATACTCAGTATGAACAGTGTGATTAGAGTTGCCATTTTGTTCATATGTAGGATGGAGATAAAAAGAGAAGTGTTCACATTGCACTGGAGTTTATAGCCCTGAATATGTTTAAAATCAACAGCAAAACTTTCACTTCTAGCTTTGATGTGTAATAGACTGGACTTAGCATCTAGTTTTAAGCAACTAAAAAGTGGATTAAAATATTTAAAACAATGCTTTTCAGACACTAAACATAAACTACTAGGGACCGTGATCCCTTAGAAAACAGGAAAAAGGATGAGTCCTCCAATTGTCCAACATCCTTTTTGGAAAAGTTTTCAACAATACTTTAGGGATAAAAAAACAAAAACAAATAATCCCCCGTAAGCTCACTGAATTGGGGAAGCAAACATTGAGTTGTGGCGGGGGCGGGGGGTGACGGTACCAAGATTAATAAATAAATCAGTGTGGTAAAAATCTGTAAATAAGAGTATCAAAGAGGAGATGGCTGCTCCCAGAGCTTAAGAACTCTCTAGAAGATTCCTCTTGCATATTTAGCTGAGTATTAATTAAGCATGCATGTGAGGTAATTACTCAAGATAAAGAAACACACAGAAGTCAGGGGTGGTGGGGCACCAGGGGTGGTGGGGCACACAGAGGCAGAGGCAGGTGGATCTTTGTGAGATCTAAGTCAGTCTGCTCTATATAGGGAGTTCTGGGCCAACTGGGGCTACAGGGAGACCCTGTCTCAAAACAACAAAAAACAAACAACGGAAGAGAGGGAGGGACGGGGGGGAAGAAAGAAGGAAGGAAGGAAAACAATTTGGCGAGTTTTTCAGAACCTGTGTTTCCACTAGCCAGAGGAAAGACTTCCTAAAACATAAAACATGAAATATAGTCCTCAGAAGGGTATTATAACCTCAGTAGTGGACCCAAACTAGCTTTTGACAAAAGCTGTTCTAGTCCTGCCTAAAAAGCTTACATGCTAAAAACCTTAAATTCAAGGTACAAAAAACTAAACTAATTTTAAGTAAGTTAGCTATATCATACATAAAGCTCAAAAATACTTAAGGTAATAATACCAAAGTCTATAGCACCCAAAATATAAAAATTATACTGTCTGCAAAAGTCATGTAAAGAAAGGAAAATCTGACTATAATGAGAAGACTTTGTTATTAGATATGGATCCAGAAATGGGACAAATGATGGAACTAATTAATAAGCATGGTAAAATAGCTACCATGCATACATTTCAGAAATTTAAGAAGGAAACCATGAACATGGGTGATGGAAAAAAACCTAAGCTGAATTTGTAGAGATGAGATACACAAAGTTTCTGAAATGAAAAATATACTTTCTGGGATTAATGTCATGTTAAATCCAGCAGAAGGAAATAAAAAAAATTATTGAACTTTTATGCATTTCATATAATACATCTCAATCTTATTTAGACTCCTGCTCCACTATCTGCACCCTCATAGCTCCCTCCCCCAGATTTTATGTGTTCTGTCATATATGTTAAGGCCTATCAAGTCAAGTTTGTGTCCCAAATGTCCCTCAGTGTGAGTTAATCCACTGGAGCCTGGTCAGCCTATCTAGCATCACTCCTTTAAAGAAAACCAACTCTCCCTCATCCAGCAATGATCAGCTGTCAATAGTTCACAGAAGGGAAATATTGCCAAACCTAAGAACATAGCCATAGAAACCGTTCAGATGAAAACACAGGGGAAATAAAGCATGGAGTATCTGTGACCTTCAGGACAACTGTAAGTGGCCTGACATATATAATTGGAGAGAGCAAAGATAATAGAGGGGTGTGTGTGTGTGTGTGTGTGTGTGTCTGTGTGTCTGTCTGTCTGTCTGTCTAACTGTCTAAGAAGCTGAGTGTATCTCAAGAGCAAGAAACATGAAGAAAGGCTTCTCAAGAAAAATAATTCAAACTAGAAGACAGTGAGGTGACATTTTTAAAATACTAAAAACAAGAACCTGTCAACACTAATTTCTATTCCCAACCAAGATGAGGTGCTGAATGAACTCTACTAAAGATCCACAACCTGAAAGAATTTGTTGCCATCATATTTGCTCTGATAGATAAATCTTTAAAAGGAAGACCTTCAGGCAGGAGGAAAATGTCATCAGTTAGAAAGATGAATGAATATAAAGAAGTGAAAGGATAGGAAATGGGAGATATGTCTATGTAAACTGCTTGCCTTAGTTTTAAAAATCTTTTCAAAAGATCCTTGTTTTGGATCTTTAACAGTTTCTGAGATTCATAGTGTGTAAGTGAAGTGCACGACAGTATTGAGCATAAAGACCGAGAGTGGGGAAATGTAAGGCAATCATGAGCTTCTCGTGGATGATCTTACCTGAAAATAAGCCTTTTGTTTTCACAGATAACATAATTGTTTATTTAGAGAATCACAAGGAGTCTCCAAAAGGTTACTAGAACTGAAAACTAAATTAGCAAGGTTATAGGCAAGAAGATCAACATACTAATTCAATTGTGTTTCTTCATAGTGACAACAAATAACCAGAAATCAACATTTTAAAAGTACCATTTACAGGAGATAGGAATGTAGCCCAGTGGTAAAGACTTTGCAAAGCCTTGGATTTGATGCCCAGCACCCAAAAGAAAATAATTATGTTATCTGTGAAAATCCTCAGTGATCAATTTGAACCAAGATTAGTTCTGTCTGTACACTGAAAACATTTCTGAGAGATATGAAGGAGTAAATCGGTGCAGAGGAATATGATGATTAAAGACATAGGTTCTAGCTGGGTATGGTGGGGATTGCCTTTAGTCCCAGGACTCAGGAGGCAGAGGCAGGTGGATCTCTGTGAGCTTGAGACCAGCCT